GTCGACCGTCTGCAGAAGTCAACACGAGCAGGTCGACGAAGCTGGTCGACCTGCACAGGGCCACTGCGAAGCCACCGACGACGGGAAGCCGGTGGCAGACTTTGACAGGGGAGGTTGACGAAGCTGTTCGTCGACCTGCGCGGAATTTGCAAGCGCCCGTCGAAGGAGGGAGTTCGACGGCATCGACTGACCGAGTTGGTCGACGGAGGGGTTCGTCGACCAGGGCGGTCTTTGATAGGAGCAGTGGTCGTCGAGGGAGGTCGTCGACCAGGACGCCGAGTGGCGGTACCCGGTCGACCAAGTAACCTCATCGATGAGGTTTTGCTGAGGGACACGAGGCTTGTCGAGGCTGCGATGGCGAAGGCGACCTTGGACTAGTATCCGAGGGTCGACATGGCTCTTCAAGCGCAACTATCGACACGTGGCCGACTTGGCACATGCGCGACGGTGCACAACGTGCTCGACCGTCGCCACGCACCTGCGAAGTGGGTGCGCACATGCGCTATTGTCATTTGCGGTTGCAACGCTTCCAGGCCGCTCTACATCAGCATTAGCGAGCCGCTCTCTGGTGCAGCGTTGCCAAGCCGCCAACTTGCTCTGTTGGCGGACAACAATACAACAACCAGCAGGAGCAGAGACAACATTGGCAGCTGCAGAAACAACATCGACAGTAGCACAGACAACATCGGCAGTAGCAGAAACACCATCGGCAGCAGCAGAAACACCATCGGCAGCAGCAGAGACAACATCGGCAGCAGCAGAAACAACACCACGACCAATCGCAGGCCCTTCGACAACAACAGGCCTGATCAATGACACGCCACCGACTCCTGCGCAACAGCTGACTCCCACTCTGCGAGAAGTCAACAGAAGCGCCAACTTCACTGCCGGCTTCTACTCCAACTACGACATATACAGACGCTCACCCGGACATCGCGCTAGCGAAGACATCTGGCATGCAAGGATGGGACACCCAAGCAACACAACGTTAAACAACACGATAAGAGCAGGCGTACTACTTGACAAAGACTCACCATGACGGCAGAGAACTTCAACGAGTCCGCGGAACATGTTTTACCTGCCCTGAAGCCGACTTACCGCATCAGCCGTTCGTACCTCACCACAATCCAAGTGTGCCAGCATACGCACCACTGGAAAAGGTGTACAGCGACATCTTTTACAATCGTGAACCCGGACAACGAGCCTACAACTACGTCATCACATTTATCGACGCCGCCACACGATACGTCTGGCATCTCAACCTTCCAAGCCGCGACATGGCCTTCGAAGCTTTCGTTGCCTAGCTTCCAGTAACAGAACGGGAATCAGGAGTGAAGCTGAAAAGCTTCCAGTCAGACGGGGGAGGGGAATATTAGTCACTGAGGTTCAAGGACTACCTGGCAAAAAGAGGCATCAAATGGCTCATCTCTCTTCCTTACGCCCATCAACAGCAAGGCGTGGCAGAAAGGGCCCTTCAGACCACTATGCGCAAGCTGCTACATGGCATGCGGATACCCAACCACCAGTGGCCCGAAGCAATGGACCATGCCGTGATGCTGCACAACTTGCTTTCGTCATCATCGCTCCCGAACAACGCATCACCGCATCTGCTGTGGACAGGAAAATTGGGCAGCACAAAAATGTTGCGAGTGTTCGGCTGCATGGTACAGTACCGACCCCCAGCTGCACGGGCCGGCATTCTCCCAACGTGCACAGTGGGGATGACATCTGGGAATCGAAAAACACTACAACGCATGGAAGATTCTCGTTGTCCACATAAAGGAAACAGTAGCAGCGCGTGACGTGATCTTCTACAAGCGATTTATCCTTTAGTCGTATCTTGCCAACCTGGAAGAACAACGAGACCTTACTAGTGGATTTCATGGTGACCGAGCCTTCGCCTCGGCAACAGACAAAGCTGACTGGGATGAGCATAATGTGGACGGAGCCTTGGAAGCAGCCGGACCTTTCCCATATTGCTGGGTCGACGTACCGATGGCGACAATCCTTGCGAAAGCATCAACGCCTAAGTTTTCTACAATCTCGCCGACGAGGGTTGCGTTACACCCGACAAGGTCAACACCGACGAAGCAGAACGCGTAGGACCCAATTTCACACCTGACCCAGAAGCAGGAGACGAAGCAGTCTATCCCGAGGACGCAAATCTCCCTCGATACACACAGAGCGGGCTGCAGATAGTGGGACTTGTCACCGCGGTCCACGGAACAGCACCACATAAGGAGCCTGCCACAGTTCAGCAGGCTCTGGGGGGGGAGCACAGGGAAAAATGGCGCGAAGCCATGGACAGGGAGTTAAAGGCGCTAGAAGAACGCAACACCTGGAAGGTCGTACCGATTGGAGTGGTACGCAACAAGACAATACTCACCAGGAAGTGAGTTTTTAGTGTGAAAACAAATGCAGAGGAACCATCGACAAGTTTAAAGCGCGCTGGGTCGTACGCGGCTTCGACCAAGAGCACGGACGAGACTTCACCGAAACATTCGCGTCGGTCAGCCGGCACACCTCACTGCGGATTCTCCTCGCGATAGCCACCATGAAGCGGAAGAAATTCGCCAGATCGACGTCGCCAACGTTTTCCTCTACGAGCCCGTCGATGCAAAGATCTTCGTCGAACAACCGCACGGCTCCAACGCAGACCCCAACCAAGTCTGTCAGCTGCTGAAGTCCCTGTACGGCATCAAGCAAGCTCCGAGGCTGTGGCAGCAGTACCTACACGCCCGGCTAATCCGCATAGGATTTCGCCAACTACCGCACGACCAGGGCATGTACCGACTCACGAAAGGCACCGACTATATCCTGCTTATCGTCTACGTGGACGATCTGCTCTACATCGGCTCGACCGACGGCGTCACAACCTGGTTCGAAGGGGAGCTGCAGCGGGACCTAACGCTCACCGTCTCATTCACCGTAACACAGTATCTCAGGCTTAACATACAAGAAGGGGAGAACGGGATCTACGTGAGCGCCGTGAAATACGCCGACACCATCGCCAAGCGCTTCGAACTAACCCCGGCCACTATCTCTACGCCATACCGTTATACTGCCGAAAACCACAAGGAAACCTCCGCTCCGCTCAAGCCCGCCGACATACGGGACTACCAGCGTAAGCTAGCATGTCTGCTCTTCGCAACCGTCACCTGCCGACCGGACCTATCGTGCTCAGTGAGCCAACTTGCTACCTACCTCAAGAAACTTGAAGCAGAGCACATGGCGGAGCTCGACCGCGCACTTCACTACCTCGTCAGCACCCCGACAATCGGCCTGACCTACCACAAAACCAAAACCACAATGCCTAAGCTAATTGGCTACGTGGATGCTGACCACGCCGGCGACTCCGACAACAGGCGCTCGCGCACCGGCTACATCTACCGCTTCGAGCCTATCTGGCCAATCTCGTGGCAGTCGAGCAAACAGGAACTAATCGCCCTCTTTTCAGCTGAAGCAGAATATATTGCGCTCTGCTTAGCCACCAAGGAAGGACCGTATCTTCGCGAAGTGCTGGAAGAAACGAAGTTGGCCCAGTTACCCAGCTTCTCCCTCTTCTGCGACAACCCATCCGCAATTCGTATAGCAAACAAGAACGGGTTCGCGAACTGGACGAAGCACTTCGCCCTGCGGTACTTCTTCGTGAAAGACGAGATCGAGAAAGGGAGACTCGAGCTATCCTACTACCCCACGTCCGAGATGGCAGCCGACTATTTGACCAAGAAGCTCGGAAAGCAGAAGTTCGAATACTGCATGCTGCTGACTGGACAAAGCCACGTCACCAGCAACGACACTCCAGAAGCGAAGGGGAGTGTTGGAAACAAGTGATTTAACGCTTCTTATGTGTAGCAACATCAGACTGTAAACGAGGCGAACTACAGCGCAGCAATGGCGCGTCAACCGAGGCGGTTGACAGAAAAGCAACAGCTGGAGGTTACGCGAAGGTCAAAGGTCAGCGACCTTTGACTCGACAAATACAGCGCGACAGCAAGGACAAACAACTGACTCGATATTGAGCAGTTGCCCGAGTCGTCGCTGTATCGAACCGCAACAGCAACAGCAAAATAGTTATTGCACCCTTTCGTATTCCTTGTAATCTTATAAAAGCTTGTATAACTTTTCTATAATCAGTCTATCTTGCCCTCACATACTAGCGCAAGGTGGTTCAACACTTGTTATTTTCCGCAATTACAAATATTCCTACTAGAATCTTAGCCCTGGAAAGATCCTGAGGGCTTTTCTCAGCCCAACAGGGGGGAGAGGGGGGAGTAGTGTAAGTTAATTTTGCTAATTTTTCAGTGAGTAGTCACTTTTCAATGCGTTCAACTTCAATTTTCAAAAGACCAGGCTCAGGCCGCTAACCTCGCATCCTGAACGTACCTTACGTTGCCGTCGGTTTTGACAACCCAAACTAGCACCCAACCATTGTGATCCCACGGACCCCTCCTAGCTAGCAATTTGTTATATCTGTGATGTGCTTCATTTTCAGATCAGTAATTGTAATGACTTCTGCTATATCGCATTCTGCACTCTTTCATTTTTATAACTCATAACACATGCGCTTATATCCGGGGTCTGACGGTATGTATGTTGCATCCTTCCTTCTGTTCCCGCCAGATATCCCGCCAAAGCGTCGCCTGAAATACATCTCGGCAGCATCATGTGACCTATCGTCTCGGCAAAGTCTATTTGACTGTTCGCGCAGCGCATTGTCCAGGTTTCCCGGAGCGCGCATTGTTGAAGGCGTGATTCGCATTTCACCGAGGCGTATCACTTTCGCAACCGATGTAAAAACCACAGAATCGTACTGAAAGCGCTTATAACCTTCTCAAATGTGCCCACCCTTCCACATTCCCTAGCAGACCTCTTTCCAGCCCATAAATATCGCTCGTTGTTATTCGGAAAACCAAGCATTCACTTGCTCGCTGATTAGCCACCAAAGCAACTCCATACTCCTCTCCCAGAGTCCGTTCAGCTCCAAATCGCAGTCTGCGATGGCGCTCCAGCGTTACGTCGGCTTGGCGATTTGTCTCTTGGTCGTCGCCGCAAGCGTCGGTGAGTGACATTCGGATCTCCACTGATTAATCTGGCAAATTTGTCAATTTTCCAGCCGCCGTTCTGCAATTCCGATTTTTAACATTCGATGTGGTTTCTCCTTGTGATGCGCAGCGACCACGACGGCGCAAACCCCGAAGGGAGGACCCGCGGCGTGCCCGTTGCCCAATCCCGACGATGCTCAGGCTCTCGGGACTCTCACTGGTGAGAACGGCAAGTCGAGAAGCCTTGAGGCTTGCCGCGTAACCGTTGCTTACGGCGTACGATACTACGCGTCGGAGTCACCAAGATGCTAAGGGATATTTCCCTCGTAACCGCTCTCATCTCTCTCCTAACCGCGTCGCTCCGTCACTCCGCTCCCCAATTCTCTCCGCGCAGTGATTCTGACAGCGTCGCTGAACGGATCCTCCAATGGCTTTGCGGGCGACATCAACGCCTCCGGTCAAGCCTGCCTCGGCGTCTACACGTAAGTCGCATTTCTTCCTGCCTCTAACATTGCCTGCCCCGCGCCATCTCGCTGAGCATTTCCCTTCTTCCTCCCTTCTTTAATTCTTCAAAGCGACTCTCATATTCCTCCGTTGTTCCACTCTTTCCCGTGAATCCCTGACTGAATCCGTCAGGCTGAACGGAGACTACAACATCTTCTACAGCATCGTCGCCTCCACCCCCGAATCGCCCGAGCCAGCCTTCGCCGGCATTGCGAAAGACGTGGGGGGGGAGCGCACCGTCGCCGTCTTTTACTCGCCCCCAGGGGTCGACGGCCCGTGGGTGAATCTCACTCGTTCACCCCCGTCCACGGCAAACCAGGGCAGGAAGGGCCTGGGCGATGCACCCGCTTTCCCTTCAACATACACCTATGCTCTTAGCGGAACGTGGCTTAACGCGAGTACGCTGACCACGATGCAGGGACTGACTTATAAGGAGTTGGTAGATGCGATTATTGCGGGGCCCGATGGGTACTGCACTGGGTTTGGGACTGCGGCCTTCCAGACGGGAGCAGCCATGGGGTTTTTCCAGGTTCAGCCCGCCAAAGCCTAAGGAAAAGAACGGATGAGAAGAGCTGGATGAAAATTTAGAAGGATAAATGAGTTGTGCAGTGGAATAGGAGAGTGCAGCAGTGGGACTCTAGCAGTTGACATGGATGAAATGTATGCAATATGCTGAGAGTTTTAGTCACAATTTGCAAGATGTATTTCAAAACGCTGTGAAGCTTTTGAGCTTTCGAGGGTGATGAGTACTTTGGGTGACTTTTACAGTGCCCACCCTCTCCCTGACCCTAAAAACCCTGTGAAGCCATGACTGGTTGAGCGTTAGTTGCAGTCCACCCCATTGCATGCCAGCCAGCCAAAGCAAATACAGTAGCAGCAATCAGGAGGTGGGAGGAAAAGTTTGGCTGCCTGGCTGGGCACAACAGGAGAGTTGTTTGATTCAGCAGCATTTTGCTCTACCTACTGGTAGAAGCCCATACAGGAAAGGATACCTCAAGCGAGCAAACACACATGCATAATCTGCTGCCTGACTGTGTAATGGCTTGCTTCTAAAGGTTGGACGGAATCCAAACGTCGGGACAAAGACAAGGTCGCATTTAGCTGAACCCTTTTCCCTGAAACGCATGTGTATTTGGACTCAACTCAGGACACACAAGGCACAAGGAGGCTGAGCCACCCTTTCAGAGCAAACGCTTCATCAAGCCATGACTGCTACTGTAGTTTGCACACTTTGTTGCAGTACACTCCAAGCATGCCCGATTCCCTCCATTCCACACGCTACCGCATGTCACACCATGATTGCCTGCTTGAGCACTTTGTTTCGGTACAATCCAAGAGCCCAGATGGGGAAGATGTTGCGATAAGCGGAGTAGCTTATCATGCAGTTGCCGTTGAACACCCCTATGATGTCCTGTAGAGGATCGAATCGAACACATGATAAGGAGAGGGATAGAGGCAGCGATTGTGGAGAGAAGGTGAATCATGTTAGCAGGTACAGTAGGCTGACTGCGTATACTGTGGTTTTACACTCTTCCCGCCCCACACTCTCCCCACCTCTCATCTTCCTACGACCTCTTATTATCTCCGGCGAGAAGTGAATTGTTTTTCTCCCCATTGATGAGCACTGGTGGTGCTGTGTGCGTGCATGCATGCATGGATGGTGATTTGAGGCTATTGCTACCCAACCCATCTCCTCCCCCCTCGCACGTTCTGTGAAAAGGTCCTCTATCACTGCTGTGCAGATGCTGTTGGAGAAATCTCAAACAACACAACACCTCTCACTGCTCTGCTCGAGCACGGTGCCGCAGCGCAGCGCGCTCACTTTGCCTGTCACTCCTTCCCGCCCCCCTCATTTGAGTCACACCACCCTCTGCTCACCTCTCACCCTTAGCTCAAATCCTCAAACCCCACCCCTCTCCCTCACCTCCTGAGGGACGTCCCCCTTCTCCAATACCAGCACCCTCACAGGAGTGTGCAGGGTGCTCCCCACCCCCCTCCCTCGCTTCTCACCCTTTGCACCCACAGCGGTTGCTCACCTCCTGGGGGACGTCCCCATTCTCCATTTACCCATTCACCAGCACCCTCACAGGAGTGTGTAGGGTGCTCCCCACCCCCTTCCTCGCTGGAGGGAGCTTCCAGGTTCATTCAGAGTGCTCTCCAACCAGGAGGTGCAAAGGGTGCTCCCATCGCTTCTCACCCTTTGCACCCACAGCATTCACTCACCTCCTGGGGAAAGTCCCCGTTTTCCATCTCTCTGTTCACCAGCACCCGTGCTGCGGCATGCAGAGTGCATGTGTTTGTATCAGAGTGCTTCCCACCCCCTCTCCTCTCACCTCGCTTGCTTGTATCAGAGTGCTTCCCACCCCCTCTCCTCTCACCTCGCTTGCTTGTATCAGAGTGCTTCCCACCCCCTCTCCTCTCACCTCGCTTGCTTGTATCAGAGTGCTTCCCACCCCCTCTCCTCTCACCTCGCTTGCTTGTATCAGAGTGCTTCCCACCCCCTCTCCTCTCACCTCGCTTGCTTGTATCAGAGTGCTTCCCACCCCCTCTCCTCTCACCTCGCTTGCTTGTATCAGAGTGCTTCCCACCCCCTCTCCTCTCACCTCGCTTGCTTGTATCAGAGTGCTTCCCACCCCCTCTCCTCTCACCTCGCTTGCTTGTATCAGAGTGCTTCCCACCCCCTCTCCTCTCACTCACCTCCTGGGGGAAGTCTCCATTCTCCATCTGCCCATTCACCAGCACCCGCGCTGCAGCGTGCAGAGGCCGGGGGTCGCGCAGGTGCTGCCATGAGAGCATGTGGGAAGGGAGGAGCGTGGGGGTGGGGGGGGGAGGAAGGGGAGGAAAAGGTGGAGGGAGGAGCGAGGCCTTTCTTTATGGGTTCAGCACCCGTGCTGCGGCATGCAGAGGCTGAGGGTCACGCAGATGCTGCCATGGGAGCATTTGGGAAGGGAAGTGGGGGGAGGGGAGAGGGATGGGAAGGGGGAGTAAGGGAGGGGGGGGGGAAGGAGACGGCACATTCCGTGTTCACCTGGTGAGGGCGAGTGGGGCAAGTGCAACAGAACAGCATGGCCTACAAGGTGGATACCACCTCCCCCAGGTACAGCCTACCTGCTTGGCTTCCAGCAGGTGGGGTGGAGTGGTGCAACTTGGCCTACCACGCAGATACTACCTCCCCTATGAAACAGGTACCCCCTCCCTACGAAGCAGATACCACCTCCCCCAGACACACCCAGCCTACCTGGTCGGCTTCCATAAGGGCGAGCATGGCCCACGCTGTGTTCACCAGGTGAGGGCGGTCGCCTGGCAGATTGACGTATTTCTGCTCGTGACGGGTTACGGTTAGGTAGGAATTTCATAGGGAAGAGGAAGAAGGCAGAAGCGGACTGATGAGAGAGAGAGAGTGTTTTGGAATCCACCAGGTGAGGGTGGTCCTGGCAGGTTGATGTATTTCTGCATGCGATGGCAGGGTGGGGATGTCAGGGAAGGAAAACAAATATTATCAGGATGGAAGATGTGAGTAAGAGGGTGAAGAGAAGGCCAATATGGCAGCAGAGATAGGAGAGCAGAGCAGGGCTGAGAGATGGGCATCAGCTGATTGGCGCTAGCTCGTTGGCATTGTTTAGCAATGGGTGGTCAGCAGACAGGGTGGTGTGTTTCAGCGAGTTCTAGCGACGGCGCCAGAGACGGGAGATGGGAGTTGGGGTACGAAAGGCAACAGAGGCGAGCAGCGGACAGATGGGCGTCAGCTCGTCAACCTGTCAGTAGTAGGCAGGAGCAGAGATCTCTAGTCTTGTCGGTGTATCAGCGAGTGGCAGGACATGGCAGTCTGAATGAAAGAAAGGCCAGCGAAGCGAAGGCACCAAGGCACCCCAGAAAATAGGTGTGAGGGCAGTGCTAAGACGTCATGAAACATGTCTGTTCACACAGTAGCCACATACCAGTTTTGAGCCGTCTCAATATGCGCTTGCTTCACCACACAGCACACACACCAGACACCCAAACATTCACAAACAGAGACGCAGCACATAGTGCAGAGCACGCACACACCTTGTCTTGGCTGGACACGCACACACCTTGTCTTGGCTGGACAGGTAGCTCTCCCCCCACCCCCCTGCTTTGTAGCTGCTTGTCCAGCAGGAAGCACACAGCACACCAGGCACACGGCACACCAGGCACACATTTTAATGTAGACGCACAGCACCGCGCACACACACACACCTTGTCTTGGCTGGACAGGTAGCTCTCCCCCCAACCCCCTGCCGGCAGCTGCTTGTCCAGCAGGAAGCGCACCGCACATCAGGCACACGGCTCACCAGGCACACGGCACACCGGGAACATATTAATATGTAGACGCACAGCACCACACAAGCACACACCTTGTCTTGGCTGGACAAGTAGCTCTCCCCCCACCCCCCTGCTGGCAGCTGCTTGTCCAGCAGGAAGCGCACCGCACATCAGGCACACGGCTCACCAGGCACACGGCACACCGGGAACATATTAATATGTAGACGCACAGCACCACACAAGCACACACCTTGTCTTGGCTGGACAAGTAGCTCTCCCCCCACCCCCCTGCCGGCAGCTGCTTGTCCAGCAGGAAGCGCACCGCACATCAGGCACACGGCTCACCAGGCACACGGCACACCGGGAACATATTAATATGTAGACGCACAGCACCACACATGCACACACCTTGTCTTGGCTGGACAAGTAGCTCTCCCCCCACCCCCCTGCTGGCAGCTGCTTGTCCAGCAGGAAGCGCACCGCACATCAGGCACACGGCTCACCAGGCACACGGCACACCGGGAACATATTAATATGTAGACGCACAGCACCACACATGCACACACCTTGTCTTGGCTGGACAAGTAGCTCTCCCCCCACCCCCCTGCCGGCAGCTGCTTGTCCAGCAGGAAGCGCACCGCACATCAGGCACACGGCTCACCAGGCACACGGCACACCGGGAACATATTAATATGTAGACGCACAGCACCACACATGCACACACCTTGTCTTGGCTGGACAAGTAGCTCTCCCCCCACCCCCCTGCCGGCAGCTGCTTGTCCAGCAGGAAGCGCACGGCCTTGCGGATGGCATTCGACGTCTCGTAGCGCGCCCCTGCTGCCACCAGCCCTGAGATGCCGAACCACGTGCCGTACGTGAAGCACACGCCCCAGCTGCCGTACCTGCACCAATGGTTCGGGTGGGGAGGCAAGGAGAGGTCTTCAGGGGTCGAGATTGCTACTACCAGTGCCCCAGGGGCGAATAGTGCAATACACGCCCCAGCTGTCGCACCGGCAAGGATGGACTGGGTGGAGGTTCAGCCCCGGCCCCAGCCTAACATTGAGGTGGCACCTCAAGTGTGGTTGCCCTGTCCTTTTTGGGGAACGATCTGTCATTCTGCACCTTCTTACTCATGATTGTGGGACACGCAGCACGGCACGTTAGAGCATCACTGCAGGTTCGCTACACCCCTCCACTCCACTCAACACGAGCCATCGTCCCTCTGGACATCCACCAGGAAGCCCCTCGCCTTCAAGATGGCCCGCTCGATGCCATCTGCACAGCACAATGATCTGGCGTGTTGGCTGTTGTAATTTCATAATTTGTACAACATACATAGGCTAGAATTAGATCTGTAGTACACTTATAAATTGGGGGGTTGTTTAGTGTACCCTCCAACCACATTTTGTGGTTGGTTGGGATTGGTCCCTAGCTCAACCAATCCCAACCAACACACATTTGTGGTTGCTTGGGTCACAAGCAAGCTCACCCATTGGCCAACTTATTGGCCAATAGGGTAAGCTTCCCTTTCATCTCTCTCTTGCTCATTGTTTGTACTAAAGGGCCTCTTGGCTCATTATTCAATGTATCTCTTCTAGCTTTTCAACATTGGCTCCACACACCAAGGCATGTGTGTGCATTGCATTGCGCTGCTGCACTGCATGTTATACAAGCCGCCACTCACCACGAGCCATCGTCCTTCTGGATATCCACGAGAAAGCCCCTCGCCTTCCAAATCGCCTGCTCGATGTCATCTGCCCGGTACTCCGGGTGTGCTCTCGTGAACGCTGTGAGGGCTTGAATGCATGCTGACGTGCACTCCACGTAGCTGGGAAGAAGCAGAGGCATGAAGAGAGGGGAGGAGCAACAGCAGAAAGGGGTGTTATTCTCGATGTCATCTGCGTAGCACTCTGGGTGTGCTCTCATGAACGCTGTGAGGGCTTGGATGCATGCTGACGTGCACTCCACGTAGCTGGGTGGGGGCGAAGGTGAGAAGAGAAGGGGAAGATGGGTAGAGAAGAGACAGGGAAAAGGGGCGTCGGGATGTCATCTGCACGGTACTCGGGTTGTGCTCTTGTGAATGCTGTGAAGGCCTGAATGCATGCTGACGTGCACTCCACGTAGCTGAGGAGGAAGGGAGCACAGTATAGAGTCGAAAGAAGAGTGGGTTTGGGATGGCATTGCTGTGGGGCTCTGGATGCTTTCTCTCTTCTCTCTTTGTGAATGTTGTGAGAAGAACGTGTATGGATGCTGCTGATGGGGAGTGAAGACTTGACATTCAAGATGAGAAAGGGCCAATGTGAAAGTTGCTTGTGTCCGCTTCACACAGTTAGAAGGAGAGGATAGAACCTTGACATCCAGTGGAGGAGAACGGAATGCTCAAGAGTAATTCCACTAGTGCGTATTGATTGCAGCACTCACGAGTAGTCGATGATGATGTTTCCAAACGTCTCCGATGGATTGAGGATCTGCATTGGGCCGGGCCGTGAGGGAGGGACAAGGAACACAGACATGAGATCGTAGAGGTCTCTAGTTTACGCTTCTATGAATGGTGAAGAGAGCTGAAGGGCGAAATAAACAAGGAATAATGTCTTTTTGTTTGTTGACATGGCTGGGTATTCCCTGCGAGTCAAGAGCATAGTACCCACCTCAAGCCAGGGGTAGGAGCGTGTGTTCTCATATGTGGCCATGCCCCCATCCTTGTTCTGATGGGGTGAGGGGGAGGGGCCGGGGGAGGAGGGAGAGGGGAGGGGGGAGGGGGGGGGATGGGGGGAGGGGGAGGCGGGAAGGGGGAGAGGGGAGGGTGGAGGGGGGTGGGGAGGGGGTAGGGGAGAGTGGGGAGGGGAGAGAGGGAACAGGTGGGGGTTTTGAAAGAATGACGACCCAGGGAGGAAGTGAAAGGAGAAATGGCAAGTGAAGGTGAGGAAGGCATGCAGCCATGCCGCTGTGATGCCAACCTTGTCCTGCGAGGGAAAAGAGTGAGGAAGGAGGGAAAAGGAAGGTGGAGAGGGGGAAGGTGAGAGGGGAAGGGAGAAGGGGGAGGGGAGAAGTGGGAGGGGAGAAGGTGCGGGGAGAAGGGGAGGGGAGAAAGGAGAGGGGTGAGGCAGAGAAAAGGAAAGGCATGGCAGGAGGAGGGAAGGCTGCACTGCATGAGTGAGCGGGTGATCTCGTACCAATATGTGTGTTGATATCATGGTACCACTAGAAATGAGAGTAGCACATGCACTCAGGCATCCATGCACACATGAGCACACGCATGCCCGCGTGCCCACGTGCCCACATGCCCACATGCCCACATGCCCACTCGTCCACATGCACACACGGACCTGGTAGGAGAGAATGACGTCTACACAGTCACACAGGCGGCGCTCGGGAATGGCCTCGCCCACCAGGTGGGGCGGGAGGGCCTCCAAGATGAGCGATGCCTGGCGGTGAGAGAGGTAAGGGGGAACAGGAAGTGAGCTATAGCATTTAGCTGTGACCCCCACATTCCTTCCTCGCCCACCAGGTGAGGAGGGAGGGCCTCCAAGAAGAGCGATGCCTGATGGTATGAGGTACGAGATGCGGGAGGTGAGGAGGGAACAGGGAGGGAGATATAGGTTCTAGGTGCAATCCCCGCCCTCCTGCCTCACCCACCAGGTGGGTGGGGTGGGAGAGTCTCCAGGATGAGCGTTGCCTGATGGGTGAGAGGTGAAGAGGTGAGGAGGAGCAGGGAGAGAGATATAGCTTTTAGGTGCGATGGCAACTTGTGAATGGGTGCGATGGCAACTTGTGAATGGGTGCGATGGCAACTTGTGAATGGGTGCGATGGCAACTTGTGAATGGGTGCGATGGCAACTTGTGAATGGCATGTGTGAAGGAACATACGTAAGAGACAACCTCCTACATGATATAAATATAAAAAAACACATAGGCTGCAATCTCTACATGGTACGCACAACAATGAATGTTTTTTGAGACGTCTCAAAAGTCCTACATGATATGAATATTGATTAACTCTACAAGGTACGCACAACAATGAATATTACGATACCTACCTTGGGCGCGCCCCCCTTGAGCCTTCCATACCCCCTTTTAAACACACCCTCATTATAACCACACTCACTTTGAGCCCCTCAGACGAGCAGTCACTGATGGGCCAGCCATGGTCGCGCGTGGAGAAGGGCCACGCGCCCCTTGAGATGTGGCGGTACCATGCTGATAGCTTACCAGGGCAGTCCTCCTGTACCTGATGGTTGGAGGAAGTGGTGGGGGAAGGAGGAACGAGCAGGAGAATCCATGGAGGTGCAAGGACCAAGGAATTCAGTGGACATGTGGCAGGGCAAGAGAATCAGGACAAAGATTCAGGATTGAGATTCAGGGTTGGGATTCAGGTTTGGGATTCAGGTTTGGGATTCAGGATTGGAATTCAGGTTTGGAAGGATGCAAACAGAGGGGTGAGAATCTGACAGCTTACTTGGGAGCGGTCGAGGTATGAGTGGGCGAGCTTTAGAGCGCGGTGGGTTTCGTCCATCATGCTTGCGGCGTGGAGCGCCTGCACTGCGAAGGCTGTGTCCCACAGCTGACTGCCGTTGTAGCCCTGATCGGGGTTTGGGGTTGGGTTAGTTGAGTTTTTAAGATGGGCAGTAACCCCACATTCCCTTATTAGTGCACACACACGGACACAGTACAGTCACAACCCCACCTGCATTTTCATGTCATCCTCAGCCACCCAGTGAGAATCGGCCACACCTCATACAGTCACAGTGCGTCTCTCTTCCCTACAGATACACTCCATGCGACGCCCACCATCATCTCCATGCCATCCTCCCCGCCCCGCCCGGAGGTAATGCGCCACTTGTGCCAGGTGCTTCCTTTACACCTTGGATAGTCACACATCTTATACAGTCACGCCGCATACAGTCACACATCATGCAGTGTCCACGCACAGCCCCACCTGCATCTTCATGCCATCCTCTGCCACCCAGAGACAGTCCGCCACACGTGCCAGGTGCTTCTTGTGGTTATCACACCTGGCTTAGTCACACATACCTCAAGGTCACACCTAGTCCCACATCACAGTCATACCTCATAACACAGCCCCACCCCACCTGCATCTTCATGCCATCCTCGGCCACCCAGAGGTAGTCCGCCACTCGTGGCAGGTTCTTCTTGAATGCCGCACCTCTCGCATAGTCACACCTTATGTGACCACTCCTCTCATACAGTGTCATGCACAGCCCCGCCTCACCCACCCCACCTGCATCTTCATGCCATCCTCTGCCAGCCAGAGGTAGTCCGCCACGCGTGCCAGGTGCTTCTTGTGGTTATCACACCTCATATAGTTACTCCTCACTCATAGTCAACCTCATACAGGCATGCTTCATACATACAGCCCCACCCACCCCACCTGCATCTTCATGCCATCCTCTGCGAGCCAGAGGTAATCCGCCACTCGTGGCAGGTGCTTCTTGAATGCCTCGCTGTTTGGGTCCTCCACCCAGCAGCACAGCATGTTGATCACCTGGGGGAGATTAGGAGTAGGGAGGTTGGGGAGGAGTGGGGAGGAGTATGGGCGCGTACGAGGGATGGGCGCGTACGAGGGATGGGCGCGTACGAGGGATGGGCGCGTACGAGGGATGGGCGCGTACGAGGGATGGGCGCGTACGAGGGATGAGCTCGTCAGACTGCAAGGTAACTGGATGCCTCGCTGTTGGGATCCTCCACCCAGCAGCACAGCATGTTGATCACCTGGGAGGGGGGAGAAGACGGGAGGGAGGGGAGGGGAGGGTGGGGAGAGGAGAGGCCTGGAGGGCACAGAAGAGGACAGAGATCGTTAGATTGCAATCTAGATCGTTAGCTGACAGCCTCGCTAGTGGGGTCGCGTCGCCCACCCAGCAGCACAGCATGGCATGTTGATCACCTGGTGGGAGGGAGGGGAGGCAAGGGGAATCAAGAGGAGATACTTTACAATGAGCCAAGGAGGGAGAAAACGGGCACGAGACAGCTGATCTCATTTCATCCATTCTGGTTGTGAGACGTCGTGGGTATTGAGGAGAGAGAGGGAGCAGGAGGGAGCTTGGCAGGCACATGCTCTCCCTCTCTATGGTTTAGGGGTTGATCACGCAACCGCATAGCATTGCCATCGCCCCACTCGGAAAGAGAGTGGTGGGGGAGAAGAGGCAGGACAGGGCTGATTTCATCACCTTAAGTTTTGATATTTTAACGGTTTTTGGTTTTGATGTGAGCTGAATGATCACAAATCCTGGCAACGGCCATCCTTACTCCCGTGTACCTTTTAACGGGCCGATGCAGACATTGCAGTGTGTTCTCTCTCGTCCTCGTTGAGTATGTGTCTCATCGTCTCCCTTACCGCCATTCTGAATCTCATTCTTACCTCCTATTGTTCCCCTCTTCTTTCCTCCCCTATCGGTTTACCTTACCTTATTAACAGGCCCGATGCAGACAAAGCGGGTGTTCTCGTCCTCGTAGTGTATATGCTTCATCGCTTCCCTGAGCGCCATCCTCCTTATAAGCTTCCCTGGTGGCAGCTTATTGAAGAGCGGCTCGGCCACATGGTAGAGAGCATCCCAGAGGCAGTCCTGGATGAAGGGATGGGGGAAGTACAGGTCCTCCTGTGTGTGGTACGGGTAAAGAAGGGAGGAGAGGAGAGGAGCAGAGGAACGACGAGGTGGCAAGTGAGTTGAAGAGGGGATTGGCCACGTGGTATAGGGCGTCCCACAGGCAGTCTTGAATGAAGGGTGCGGGAAATAGAGGTCCTCCTGTGATATGGGGCGAGAATGGGAGGAGGAGAGGAAAATAAGGGAAAGGATAAGGGGGAAGGGGGATATGGAAGCGACTAGGTGAAATGGATTCAAGAGTGGCTCGGCCATGTGGTAGAGAGCATCCCAGAGGCAGTCTTGGATGAAGGGGTGAGGGAAATAGAGGTCCTCCTGTGGGGAGGGCGAAAAGGGAAATGGAAGGCAGCGAACGATAGGGATTGCAGAAAGGCGGCATGAAAGACGGCATGGGATGTGGGATGGCGTTGCAGATGCAGCATCCAGTGAAATGGTGGGAGGAGGAAAGTGGGACGAGTAATATATGGGAAGATTGGAAAAGATTTGTGAGGGCATCTAGTTCGCCTCTGAACCGAGCGAGCATATGTAGCAATGCACCCATCTTAACACATCGGCGGTTTGTACACTACTTTAACAGCAATGCAAAATCTATTCCACCTTGCAACTCTGCTCTTACCACTGACCTGGGCACAGTGTGTTATATTGATCAATTATTGAATGGGGTGCAGTCCTATGTATGGCTCGTTATGAAGGACCTCACTAAGAGAAGGCACTCACCTTGGCACAGCGGCGCCTCATGTTGTTCCAGTTGATGGACTCATACGGCTCGTTATAGAGCTCCTCTCTAAGAGCCGCAACCAGGGGCGTGTCAGTGGGGCCGTGCGCTCTCAAGCCGTAGATGTAGCACATGGGGAGGTACACCATGCGACAGTGGCACCACATGCGCCCTAGGTTGGGGAATGGAGAGGGGTGGAGAGGCAAGGAATGGTGAGGGCACTCAACCCATAGATATAGCACATGGGGAGGCACACCATACGACAGTGGCACCACATGCGGCCTCGGTACGGACATGGGGGGGAAATGGCATGTGTGGGTAGGAGAGGGATGGCATGTGTGGGAGTGCTTTTGAATTGCTTCAAGCCGTAGATGTAGCACATGGGGAGGTAGACCATGCGACAATGGCACCACATGCGCCCTGGGATGGGGAGCGGAGAGGGATGGCAAGGGATGGAGAGGAATGGAGAGGGATGGAGAGGGGTCGGAAGTGGGACTTTCAACCCTATATGTAGCACATGAGCGGAGCACCATGTGTACACCATGCAACAATAGCACCACATGCGACAATAGCACCACATGCCACAATAGCACCACATGCGGCCAGGGGAAAGGCAAGTGGGGGGAGGGAAGAGGAAGACATACCAGGGTGTACGGGGAGGAAGTAGGGCAGCAGCCACATTTCAGGCGGCATGGGGTTGATTTGATGCCTCTGTAGCCATACACGCCTAGCACCTGCTTGCACCTGCTTACACGCTCTCTACACCTCTCTGCACCTCTCTGGTACAGTGCCTTGAGCTTAACAGGGTGTACGGGGAGGAAGTAGGGCAGCAGCCACATTTCAGGCGGCATTGGGTTGTTTTGATGCCTCTGTAGTCATACACGCCCAGCACCTGCTCGCACCTGCTTGCACCTGCTTACACGCTCTCTACACCTCTCTGCACCTCTCTGGTACAGTGCCTTGAGCTTACCAGGGTGTACGGGGAGGAAGTAGGGCAGCAGCCACATTTCAGGCGGCATTGGGTTGTTTTGATGCCTCTGTAGTCATACACGCCCAGCACCTGCTCGCACCTGCTTGCACCTGCTTGCACCTGCTTACACGCTCTCTGCACCTCTCTGCACCTCTCTGCACCTCTCTGGTACAGTGTCCTGAGCTTACCAGGGTGGACGGGGAGGAAGTAGGGCAGCAGCCACATCTCAGGCGGCATGGGGTTGATGCCCCGGTAGTCGTACACGCCTAGCACCTGCCCATCGCAGAAACCGAGCATTCATGAGGGGATATGTGAGGGAAAGGTGAGTGCTTAGAGGTGCTCAGGAGCTTTCATTTCAGGCGGCATGGGGTTGATGCCTCTGTAGTCGTACACGCCTAGCACCTGCCCAGTGCAGCAACGGAGCATGAGTGCATGCGAAGGAGAGGGGTGGACATAGGTGAACCTGGAATTGAACCCACAGACGCCAAAGGAACCTGCAGCAGCAGTATCAGCCGAGTCAGCATTATCTGGGATTGCATTGCTGCGTTAACTAGTGGAAAGTACTGGAGAGGAGAGAGTCAGCTGCTCAAACAGAGCGTAGTGACATGATTGTAGAACTGGAAAACGGGATGCAAGAAACGCAAGGTCAATCAGAAGTGCCTTTGAGTTGACTCAAAAGTCACCTAGAAATGCAAGGTCAATCAGAAGTGCGTGACCAACCGGGTGAGAACGATTGGTCACTACGAGCATGACCGAAGGAGTGAACCTAAAAAACGAATGATTTCTGGAGCAGATTCTTGCAGCGCCAGAGTCTGCAAAGCAAACCGTTTGGGATTCACGCAGAGCCAGAATTTGCCCCAGGAGGTGCTGGCAGTTGCGCTGCCGTGCAAGCAGGCAGAGAGCGCAGACCAAACCATGAAATCAAACTCACACATATGCGGATGCCCCGCAGAAATCAAGCCATAATCTTGAAACTCACGCAGAGCCAGAATTTGCCCCAGGAGGTGCTGGCAGTTGCGCTGCCGTGCAAGCAGGCAGAGAGCGCAGACCAAACCATGAAATCAAACTCACACATATGCGGATGCCCCGCAGAAATCAAGCCATAATCTTGAAACTCACGCAGAGCCAGAATTTGCCCCAGGAGGTGCTGGCAGTGGCGCTGCCGTGCGAGAGGATCCACTCGCGGCCAGCTGTCATCGCGGGATTGGCAGGATGCTCTCCCAGGATGCGCAGAGAGACGTAGTTGAGGGTGGATCCAAACATGGTGCTGTGGCCCTCTATGTGCAGGCCCCAACCTCCGTCTGGGTTCTGGGGCCGGGTGATGGGGAGGTGTGGAAGGATGTAAGGAGGAGTTGGGAAGGGTTATGTGGTGCCAAACATGGTGCTGCGGGCCTGCATGCAGCCCCTACGTGGCATCAGGGTTCTGAGGGAGGGATGAAAGGGTGTGAGGAGAGGAGGGGTGCTCTCCCAGGATGCGCAGCGAGACGTAGTTGAGGGTGGATCCGAACATGGTGCTGTGGCCCTCTATGTGTAGGCCCCACCCGCCGTCCGGGTTCTGGAGGATTGGGAGAGGGAGGAGGGGTTGGAAGGGAGTAGGGAGGGGATGGGAAAGAAAGAAGTGGTGCCTATCTTAAGGTCCGAACATGGTGCTGTGGCCCTCTATGTGCAGCCCCCACCCTCCATCCGGGCTCTGGGGGAGGGTGGGAGGGGGAGTAAAGGTGGGAGGCAAGAGAGGAAAGAGGGTGGGAGATAGAGAGGAAGAGGCGACGTGAATGGGGGATGCAAGAGATGGTGACTCAGGAGAGGGCTGGGTCGATCATGGTGATTTGACACTCTATCACCTAACCCTGAAGAACCATGTGACGGGGCTATCATGAAACCCCCTTCTTTGGATTTTCTTCCTCCTCCTCACCCCATGAACCAGCCCGACTCACAGCATCTGTTCCCTCTGAATGCTGTGCGCTGTTCACCTGGTGGTTGTAGAGGTATCGCACCATCTCCCTCTTGTGCTCTGCTGTGAGCACCTGGTCCAGGGCGCCCGTCACATGCAGCGTGATCAGCTGAAAGGCACAGAAGAGGCAAGGGGGAGAGGGGAACGGGGGGAAAGATCCTTTGAGTTAGCTGCTACAAAGACTCGTGTGGACTACCACAGAGACTCCTGCGCTCTGCTGTCAGCACCTGGTCCAGGGCGCCCGTCACATGCAGCGTGATAAGCTGAAAGGGGAACGGGATGGGACGGGATGGGAGGGGGAAGCAGGGGAAAGGGAATGTAATGTTTCGACTTATTCATGAGCCCGCAAGCTCGGCTCTCACACACCACCTGGAACCGGCTATGCACGCTCTGCTGCCAGAGAAGGTGGTAGTATAGGGAGAGCTCTGCTGTCTTTTGAGTCGACTCAAAAGCCAGAGAAGGTGGTAGTACAGGGAGAGCTCTGCTGTCTTTTGAGTCGACTCAAAAGCCAGAGAAGGTGGTAGTATAGGGAGAGCTCTGCTGTCTTTTGAGTCGACTCAAAAGCCAGAGAAGGTGGTAGTACAGGGAGAGCTCTGCTGTCTTTTGAGTCGACTCAAAAGCCAGAGAAGGTGGTAGTACAGGGAGAGCTCTGCTGTCTTTTGAGTCGACTCAAAAGCCAGAGAAGGTGGTAGTACAGGGAGAGCTCTGCTGTCTGCTGTCAGTACCTGGTACAGGGCGCATGACACAGCACAACTTTACGTGAACTCACTTCCCCTACTAAGCGATAACTGACAGGCCCGCCCACCACCAATGGCGCGCCTCAGAAACAGGCACTCCTTCGCTCACCAGACCCGGCATGAGGAAGAGCGGGCCGCCGTAGTCCCCCGCCCAGTGCCCATCCTTAGCGTGGTTCAAAAGGCCTTGTGGAAGCGCACTGCGCCACTTTCCTCCTTACAGTCAATTAGTCACGCAAAGATTCTAAACGCTCACCAGGCCCGGCATGAGGAAGAGAGGGCCGCCATAGTCCCCCGCCCAGTGCCCGTCCTCTGCTTGGGTGGCCAGGCCTCATAGAATCGCACGGCACGACTTCACACAGTATGGCCGGCTCACCAGCGGGCGCCCGCAACAAAAGGCACAGTCAGGCACCCAAGCTCACCAGGCCCGGCATGAGGAAGAGAGGCCCCCCGTAGTCCCCCGCCCAGTGCCCATCCTCCGCCTGAATCGTCTCATAGAAGCGCACGGCCCTCCTTAGCGTCACCTCCACTGCCGCCTCGTCCACCGCTGTGGCTGTCGACACGACACGGGCTCCTAAAAACTCACGGTACTCTCTCCACTCACCAGGCCCGGCATGAGAAATAGCGGGCCCCCATAGTCCCCCGCCCAGTGCCCGTCCTCCGCCTGAATCGTCTCATAGAAGCGCACTGCCCTCCTTAGGGTCACCTCCACTGCCGCCTCGTCCACCGCTGTGGCTGTGGAAACCGGCTCCTCTGTTACCCGCACAGGGGGAAGCTGATTGGCGGGGGGCTTGCCTCCTGTGAGCTGGGATGGGCGGTAAAGAGGACGGAGGGGGAATCAGGAGAAAGCAGCGGAGAGAAGAAGCGGGGAGGGATGAGGTGAGACCCATCCTCCGCCTGAATCATCTCATAGAAGCGCACGGCCCTCCTTATAGTCACCTCCACTGCTGCCTCGTCCACTAGTGTGGCCCTCTCTGTTACTCGCGCAGGTGAGAGCTGATTGGCCGGGGGCTTGCCTCCTGTGAGCTGGGAAAGGCGGCACAGGGGAGGGAGGAGGAGAGTAGGAGATAGCAGAGGGACGAGGTGAGACCCAGAACATACACTGCCGCCTCATCCACTTCTGTGGCTGTCGAAACTGGCTCCTCGGTCACTCGTACAGGTGGGAGTTGATTGGCTGGGGGCTTGCCTCCTGTGAGCTGGGATGGGCGGCACAGGGGAGGGAGGGAAGCGCAAAGGAGATCAGAGGAGAGAAGGGAAGAGCAGGAAAGAGCAGGAAAGAGCAGAAGCGGGAAGGGACAAGGTGAGACTCGCAGCATTGTCTGCAGGCAGCATCAGCGGTGGTCGTGACAAGGAGTCTGACTGACAGACCATGTACAGGGTGGGGAAGGGGGACCTGACTGACAGATCATGTACAGGTTGGGGAAGGGGGACCTGACTGACAGATCATGTACAGGGTGGGGAAGGGGGACCTGACTGACAGATCATGTACAGATTGGGGGAGGCTGACTGAAAGACACAAAAGGAGGGGAAGGGACTGCTTGCTGACTGACACATGGTGAGATTGGCATGTGAACGAGTGCGTTAAACTGCAAGAAAAGAGTGGAGAACAACCCGACTGAGCTGTATTCGACAGTCAGAAGGCTATCGTGGTGGTATGAGCAGTTCGTTATAGTCACATTTGGTAAAGGCTACAATCACCGGCAGACTCATGAGTCATGAGTAAATTGCTGCATAGTCTCCTCTCCTGCCTGTTTCTCGCAAAATATGCATTACAGTCACACTCGTTACAACACAATCACCTGCAGGCGCATGAGCGCATCGCTGCTGTGCTTCCTCTCCTGCCTATTCCTCGTGAACTCCTCCCTCAGCCTCTCCACTTCCCGCCTCTCCTCCTCCGTCCCCGCCGCCGGGTCAAACTCCCAAGTCTGCGCAACGGGGGAGAGGAAGTATAGAGGGTGATGAAAAAGAAGCCAAGGAAACCTGCACTGCACTGTTGCTGCGCACTCATTGCTACACAACACAGTCCGCTTCCCGTGGTTCGAATCGCTTGAAACGGATGGACGCATGGCCTTCACTGACGAGCATGGAGGGATGGAGGGGAGCAGCGAGAGGATATTGGGAGGAGGAAGCATAGAGAAGTAGAGCAGAGAAGCCGAGCAGTCGCGGCAACGGGGTTCACGGCGGTAGGACTCCCTTCTGTCATACTCTGTTGTTATCTCAATGCTGATCCGTTTCACACATCCCACTACCCGTCTCGCATTCCCGTCTCTCATCTCCTAATCCAGCTATTGTGATCGCATATACATGACAACGGTCTACCGCACCGTTCTCCTTGATAGTCCTCGCTTAAACGCACTGCGATATAGGATTCGCCCACAACACCGTTCTCCCTCATGTACGTCATCCATTAGACGCACTTTAACAACCGCATTCCTGTTGATTTCAACGTTGGTGGAACGCTGATAACAGTTCAGGTGGTTGCGTGTACATCCTGTGAAGCGGTCGCACAGGTCGCACGGGTAGCTTAGGTCTCACGCTCAGGTCGTTTGGGTCGCACACGTCGCTCAGGTCTGTCACAGATCGCACGTCGTGTAGTGCGGAGGCTAACCATCTCTTGACACGTTCGTTGTCGCACATGATGCTCGACCATCTGGAGTCGCAATGACAGTCGCACGGGTCGCGTGGCCGCCTACGGTCGCACCTGTCGGCCAGGGAAGTCGCTGACGCTTGTCAGAAACGGACTGTCCCCTGTCGCCACGCGAAGTCGCCACATTGCGACTGGGTCGCACACAGATCCACTGTTGCTGGCCAAAATCGCGTATATGAAACTATAACTACAAATGCGCGCGGAGGATACGAAGACCTAGTCTCTGACAGAGGAACGGTAGAATCTGATCGTTGGTCGGTGGTGGTCACGTTGTGAACCCTTGGATACCGTTGGAAGCGAAAGAACAGGATCATTTTTCGTGATCGCACAACGCGCTTCAGGCGATTCGTCACAGATTCGGGGAGCAGTACCGTTTTGAAACGCAATTGACCGAAGAAAACCACGACCACGACACATGATTTTAGTTCAAACACATGTGGCCGACATTTGTCTGGGGAAAAAGGGAAACTATATCCCAGATCCTTACTTTCAGATTTCTCTCATATTTACCCGCAAGTTTACTAAAAAAGTCCCACTTTCTGGGATTTGGCTCACGCGAGGCCCAAATTATGTTCAAAACTGGTCCTGCGGGGTTTAAATCTCGACACGTGTCTAGTTCACACCAACAATTTTTGACGGGGCACAAAAAATATAATACCCCTAGGGAAACGGGACACATTTCGGGAGGGATCAACCCTAAACACGGGAACCCGCCCGGTGTTTAGGGTTGATCCCTCCCGAAATGTGTCCTGTTTCCCTAGGGGTATTATGTTTTGTTTGCCCCGTCAAAAAAAAATGGTACGAAATGGACACATGTCAAAATTTTGGCCCCGCAGGACCAGTTTTGAACATACTTTGGGCCTCGCGTGAGCAGAATTCCGCAAAGCTGTACTATTTGGGTAAACCTGGGGGTAAATATGAGAGAAATCTGAAAGTAAGGATCTAGGATATAGTTTCCCGGGGAAAAATCTTCTAGAACCCCTCGGGTGGCTCGATATTGTTTAAATATAGGAACAAACACACCTCATATTCATGACTATTGATAGGCCTCAACAAAACACATAACTAGATTCTGGCCAACTGAAGGAAAACTTGCAGATACGGTAGTGCTCGTGGACACTAGACGCTTAGACAGACAAAGTTCGCATTTGATATTAGACTAAGCAAACTTCTTCACAGCTAACCTGACAGAGGGTACATCAAAGGACTGGTGTGCTGATTCCTGCAGGAGATTGTGTAAAATCAACACTCCAGGAGACGCCAGATTGTACAATTCTGTCCGAGTTATGTTATTATAACTGCATACAAGTCTAGCTATAAGTGTAGTGGTGTTACATTTCTGTTAGGTGGTGCACCTCTTGGTTGTTCCTTGTATAACTCTCTCGTCACTTCTCAATGTCATTCCTCTTTTTTTGCCATTCTCTCTACTCTAAACCCCAAGGTTCCTAGCCACTATCTTAACATGGTACAGAGCAGGTTCCTCCAAAGGACCTAACTTTTTTTTTTTTTAAGACATGGCTTCTGCAGCACCCACTAAGGCGCTCTGGCGCCCACCCGATCTGCCCGTCTCGTCCCCCATTTTGTCGACCCACGGCGCCCCGGTTCCCGTCGCCGCGGCGCCCCGAGTTACGTCGCCGCGGCGCTCTGCGTCCCGTCGCCGCGGCGCCCCGCTTCTCGGCGCCGCGGCGCCCTGCTTCCCGTCGTCCGCGGCCCCCGTTTCGTCGCCCCGCGGACGCCCCGTCGGCTGCCCCGCGGACGCCCCGTTGGCAGCCCCGTGTGCGCCTCGACGGCTGCCCCGCGCGCGCTCTGCCTGTCGCCCCGTGTGCGCCCTGCTAGCGCGGACGTCGGCGCCAGCAGCAGCTCACGCCGCCCTGTCAAACATATATGCTACATATTGTCTAGGCTGTAGTGGGGTAGCCCATATGGGGTACAGCCCAATTAGGGTTTACTACTTGTACTCCTGCATGCTGCTAGTTCATCCATTCCTGCTGCTAGATTCTAACATGGTTTCAGAGCACTAAGGTCCGTAGGACCGTTTTTTTCGGGCCCACCTACCGCTGCGGTTACCGCGCTACCCCACGTACCTGCCTGCCTTGCCTTGCCTTGTGACGTGCTGCACTACGCGCGCCGTCCAGCAGCCCTAGCGCTGCCTCCTGCTGCCCTAGGCCAGCGCGCTGCCCCTAGAGGCCCGTACAGCCCGAGCGCCGCCCCTACACGCCCTTCAGGCCCGCGAACAGCCCCTGCAGACCCGTTAGGCCCCCTTCTGCCGAGCGCTGCCCGCACTCAGCCCACGCAGCCCGCGCCGAGCCGCGCGCAGCCCGCTGCTGCCGCGCGCTGCCCGCACCGAGCCCGCGCAGCCCGCGCCGAGCCGCGCGCAGCCCGCTGCTGCCGCGCGCTGCCCGCACCGAGCCCGCGCAGCCCGCGCCGAGCCGCGCGCAGCCCGCTGCAGCCGCGCGCAGCCCGCACCGAGCCGCGCGCAGCCCGCTGCAGCCGCGCGCAGCCCGCACCGAGCCGCGCGCAGCCCGCTGCTGCCGCGCGCAGCCCGCGCCGAGCCCACGCAGCCCGCGTCGAGCCGCGCGCGGCCTGCTACTGCCTCGCGCGGCCCGCGCGCGGCCCGCAACAGCCCGCGCCGAGCCGCGCGCGGCCCGCAGCAGCCCGCGCCGAGCCGCGCGCGGCCCGCTACTGCCTAGCGCGGCCGCGCGCGGCCTGCAGCAGCCCAGCGCGCTGTCAGCGCAGCCCGCGCCGAGCCGCGCGCGGCCCTCTGCCTCGGCCCCGACCTGCCGCTGATGCGGCCCCGCCCTGCAGCTGCCACGGCCCCGACCTGCCGCTGATGCGGCCCCGCCCTGCAGCTGCCACGGCCCCGACCTGCCGCTGATGCGGCCCCGCCCTGCAGCTGCCACGGCCCCGACCTGCCGCTGACGCGGCCCCACCCTGCAACTGCCGCTGAAGCGGCCCCGCCCTGCAGCTGCTTCGGCCCTACTCTGCAGCCGGTGTTGCGGCCCCGACGTCGCCGCTGTCGTGCGCCTACTCGGCCGCCGCCCGTCGAGCGCCGGCCCTGCTCGCCCGGCGAGCGCCTGCTCTTCCAGCCTTTGGTGAGCGCCTGCCTGCCTGCCTGCCGGCCTGCCTGTCTGCCTGCCTGCCTGCCGGCCTGCCTACCTGCCTGCCTGCCTGCCTGCCTGCCTGCCTGCCTGCCTGCCTTCCTGCCTGCCTGCCTGCCTGTCGGCCTGCCTGCCTGCCTGCTTGCTTGCCTGCCTGCCGCGCCTGCCTTGCCCGCGCTACTGCTGCTGCTACTGCTACTGGCAGGTGGCCAGATGCAGCTCCAGCGACGTTCACGTGAGCCTCTCACGCCCCAGCAGCTTAGTGAGTGGTATACTAGCTGGGGTTGTCGCGGTAGCCGTCGTAGCTGTCGCCCTGGAGCTGGTCAGTTGGGAGCGTCTGGCAGTGGCCAACTG